TTATCTTTGGGGAACTTGTAGAAACCGTAAACAACATTCCTTCTAAACGTGTTGAAACATTAGTTTACGGTTGTCTACTTAGTTATATATTTATGAAAGATGGTCTTCAGGTAGAATTAGACGTAGTCATCCCTCTAACCACCGAAATCAACTTCACATCACGAAAATCGGGATGGACTGGAGACAAAGATCAATGGGTTTAATCAACAAAGAAAACCACCGGTGCTAGCTCTTCACAAGCTGCTCCAGCTCCGACTCCGGCTCAAGAGCTTGAAGACTTGTTATGAGATGTCGATGATCTCGTAAACCAGCCTGAGGATGATCCAACCAGGCAAGAGAGTCTTATACCTTCATACTTTCGATCGTTCAAGAAGACATTTGACTTAAGGTTGGCATCATTAGAGTCCCAACTCACGGCTCAACACTTAGAGCAACAAAGGGAAACTCGAGCTCGCTTTGACGAACTCAATGTTAGGGTCGATGCGCTTACACAAGATATGGCTTCTATACGAGCACATTTTTTCTCCTCTCGATCCACCGATGAATGACTAACCTTGCCTTGCTAGTTTTTTTAGTTTGAGCGTTGAACCTAACATTGTTTTAAACATTTTGATGAATGATTTGAATACTTTGGATATTTGGTTGTTTGGATTGTTTGTGTTTTGGATGTTTAATATAATTAGACTTTTGATCTTAATTGAATGATTATTATGTTAGTTTATGCATCTTTTACATTTTTGATCATATATGACTAATTCCCAATTACATATTGTTTATGAATATTGATTATGTGGACTAATGGCTAATATTTCTCTTAACTTTGATCTTAGCAGCTATATACATATATATACATCAATTTGGAAAACTTTATTAAAATAAATCATAGAATCTTTTTTATTTAACAAAAACGGGGGAGAATATAGTAAGGGAGAGTGGGGAGTAATCTTTCAAAAAATGATTTTTCTAAAGAAAATCTTAAAACTTCTAAAATGTTTGTTATATCAAAAAGGGGGAGATTGCTGAAAACATTTTGATGTTTCGATATAACAAATAAAGTGTCAAGTAATTTTAAGATTTTATATTCAATTTAAAATATAATATTCGATTCAATTATTCGAATATCACAAATATTACTCTAAGTTTTCAAATATCAATTTTTACTCCTTACTAGATAAAAATTTGAGGTTTATATTTAAAGTATTTTTGAAATAATTTTTACAAAGTATTTCGAACCATAATCGAGTCAAATTTGAGTTTTAAATAAGGAAGTACTGATATCTTCTTAACGAGTATCGATACCCCTCAAACATCGAATACAAAAGAGGTATGGATACCCTACAGGGTATCGATACCCCTATAAATAGTAGTACTGATACCTAGCCAAAAGGTATTGATACCCCTCATTTTGATTTTGACTCCGAGAAATAACAGAATGCAAAATGGGTATCAATACCATGACCGGTATCGATACCTCTTTACATAGTAGTATCGATACCCCCTTGAGAGGTATCGATACCATCAGTTTTGCAACGGTCGAAATATTTGAATTTTATACATGTAGTATCAATACCCCTATGAAGGAGTACCGATACCCATACGCTCCCAGCAGTTTTTTTAAGTGTATTTCACACCACAACGGCTTTATTGACTCCAATATGATTCCCAACGTTCAGAATTAGCTTTTCCAAGTGGATTTCACACCACAACGTCTCTATTGACTCCAATATGATTCCCAACATTCATAATTTATTTGAGGTGTATTTAAACAAGTCTTGAAGCCATTGATGAAGAACAAGAAACAAGTTTTGAGAAAGAATTCAAAGAGAGAAAGCCTTAAACTTATTGTTTGAGCAAATCAAGCCTACATACATTCAATATTCATTTTCCTTTCAAGAACACCATTTGTGATCCATTGTATTCATCTTTGAGTGTTCTTTCTTTGTTCTAGAATTGTGTAAACATTCTACCTTGTGAGGTTTTTCTGTAAGTTTGCAAAGTTTGTAATTTTCTTTTTGAGAAGAGAGTGTCTCAAGAATTTGGGGTATAATTCTTGAGGAAGTTGTAAGGTTACTCTTTGTCCTCAAAAGAAAGACAAATTAGTGAATTTGTGGAAAATCCTTAGTGTGGATAGCTAAGGTAGTGGACGTAGACTTTGGTTGAGAAAGTTGAACCACTCTAAATCAATGTGCAAATCTTTTCTATTTTTTGTCAAAGCTTCCACCAAAATTTTAATTGTCAATTCACCCCCTCTTTGCTATTTCATCCGATCGATTAACTCAACATAACCCTTCTCATCGGCAGCGTCTGTTTTAAAGAAAACACTAGTCGAGGCAAAACTTATCCACTAAATGCATGAAATGTCCTAAATGCAACTAAAATGCTATGAAAACAGCTTTTGACAAACAATAACTTAAGTAAAAATACCTAAAATATAGTCTTTTTACGGAGTTATCATCGACCCGCCTACATTGTCTCAAGTTCAACTTATTTTGCATGAGCGGGTACTTAAGGCTCTTGTGATTGGTAAAGATGTAGCATTTCCCCCAAAACAAATAGTGTTTCCAAATTTTTAGCACAAAAACAATCGCAAAGAGCTCTATGTCATGTCTAACGTAGTTATGCTTGTGCGACTTGAGCTAACGGGATACATAGGCCACAACTTTCCCATCTTGTATCAAAACACATCCTAGCCCATTTAAGAAAGCATCATTGTACATGGTGAAATCCTTGCCTGACTTTGATTGGGTTAAAATAGGGGCCTAAGTCAGGATGGCCTTCAATTAATCAAAACTATTTTGTAGTTTCTTGTCCCACACGAAAGGGACTCTCTTGTGAAGCAGGTTAGTCATAGGGGTAGCTATCATCGAGAAACTTTAATGAACTGATGATAATACCCAAAAGACGAAAGAAACTATGCACCTCTGACATGTTCTTTGGTGGTTCCCTTTCAACTACTACTTGAATCTTTTGAGGGTCAACCCGTATATCGTCTGTCTCTATGACATGTCTAAAAAATAAGACCCCTAACAAGCAAAACTCACACTTTCCAAACTTGACCTATAGCTTCCACTCCAAAAACATTTACAATATAATGCAAAAGTATTAGTCATGTTTTTCCTCCAATCACGAATACGCGAGAATAACATCTATGAATACCATCACAAACTGGTCAAGGTTAAGGTGAAAGAAAATCAAGTCCATAAATGTTAGTGGGGTGTTGGTGAGTCCAAACGACATTACAAGAAATTTGTAGTGGTCATACCGAGCCCTAAAAGTCATCTTCTCTACATAGACATCCTTAACCTTTAGTTGATAATATCCTGACCACAAGTCAATCTTGGAGAACACACACACTCCCCTAAGTTGGTCAAATAGATCATCGATCCTATGAAATGATAAGGACTCTTCTTGTCATTATAAGAGGTTCTAGCCTATATATTTAGCCGACAGTTCACTACCAGAGATCAATTGATGATTCCTTGTGTAGACCCTTATTGCAACTTGAATTACGTTCTTTAAAATTGAAATTTTCTATGCATATAGGCCCTTATTGCTTACAGCATTGCTTCCTTTAAGATTGGTATTTTTTTTTCATGAAAGCTTTACAACTCGTTTTAAATACTCTAAATTTGTTAGTTTTCCAAGCCATAATAGTATATAGTTTTTTAATGTTGCGATTAAGGATAATTCTAGATTGCATATTGGTTAGACTATCGTATGCACCATATTAGGTTTGGTAGGATCCAAAATACGACAAATCATAAGTGTTTTGTTGTTCTTGGGAGATTAAGTAGGATGCAGGGATTTTGAGAAGAAGAAAAGAGGTTGATTTTAAAAGTCCATTCTACACTAATTTCTTTTAGGTCTAAAGTTTTTCATTTTCATCTCACCAATTATTAATGGGAACAAGTTTGTCTTGTTAGTCGTTAGTGGTTCACCTCTTTTGATTTGGGTGAAGAGTCGCGATTGTTAAGGAGACAATCATTGACCGATATTTTTTTATAAGAGAGATGATGCATTGGAAGAAAATGTGAGTTTATATGAGGAAGATCTTAAAGATGACTTTTTTTTCCAGCATTCTCTCATGTATAAATACTTTTTCTATGGGGTAGTTGGTGTCAAACCTATAATGAGATGACTATCTATAGGTTGTCTCAAACAAGATTATAATTGTTTAAATAAGTTTAACTCTAATAAATCACACGAGGCTGTTAAGAATCTAATCGTAGAAATATAGTCATTCTAAAACAAAAAAGGTTATATATTTTTGCATTATTAAAAAATGCTTAATTATAAAATAAGTGCCCAAACTATACCATTTTCCCAAATGAGTGCCTAATTTTTTTTCGATTTATCTAGGTGCCTAATGTTACCATTTTACATGTCTGGGCTATACAGTTAAATTTCAACGTTAAGTGACACATGTCACATTATAATAATTTAAAATTTTTATTTAAAATAAAAATAGAATTATATATTTAAAAAAACCTGAAATTTTTTGAAAAACTTTAAAAAACCTCGAAACTTTAAAAACTCCAACTTCAATCTATAAACCACTAAATTAGCAACACCTAAACGATCGAACGACACACACGACGATAGAGATGGCAATCAACAAGAGAGATGACAAAGAAATCATCAGCTACAGTGGATGTGGCTAGTAAGGGAAATTACGGTTGGGTTAGAGATATGGGATTTTTAGGGATTTGTATTTTTTTTTGTAATTTTAGAAAATTATGGTTATAATATTTTTTTAAAAATAATTTAAAAAAAAATTTAAAATTATCAGAACGTGACACATGTTACTTAACGATTTTCTTAAAAGTCGTTAGCGTCCGGACATCTAAAATTATAATGTTAGGCATCTAAATAAATTAAAAAAAATAGATACCTATTTCGGAAAAACATCGTAGTTAGGACACTTCTTTTCTAATTAAGTCAAAGAAACAACTCATGATTAGACTTTCATGTTGGGTTCGGACAAAGAAACAAACAAAAAGTCGCTCCTCTTTGATCGGTAATCGTTAACTCTACCAACTCCCTTGACTAACATTTGACCTAGAAAACGGAACCAGGCTTTTGGTTATTCCTTTTTCTAAATTATGGGTAACTGCAACGGTCTTCCATCCACCGGTAACCACGTCCGACCACTCTACGACTCCGGCGGTGGTCCCTTTGGTGGCTCCATCAACGTCCAACCTGACCCATCACCCCAACAATTTTCTGCGAACCACGCTTCGTCCGCCGCTTCCACCACTCCACCGGTCGGACGTGTACTTGGCCGTCCCATGGAGGACGTCCGGTCGACTTACATCTTCGGCGATGAGCTCGGCCGTGGGCAGTTCGGTATTATCTACTTGGTGACTCACAAAGAAACCAAGCAGCAGTTCGCTTGTAAAACTATCGCTAAGCGTAAACTTATCAACCATGAAGATATCGAAGACGTCCGCCGTGAAGTCCAAATCATGTACCACCTCACCGGCCACAGGTTTCTCCTCAAAACGAAATTACTTTTCATAATTGTATGTTTGTAGCCTTTTATGTTGCAACTTTAAAAAGAGTTAGTAAAATGGGTTTGAAAGGAATGTTGTGGAGCTGAAGGGGGCTTATGAGGATCAGAACTCAGTGAATTTGATTATGGAACTGTGTGGGGGAGGAGAGCTATTTGATCGGATTATAGCAAAGGGTCATTTTTCAGAGAGGAAGGCGGCTAACTTGTGCAGGCAGATAGTGATGATGGTCCATTACTGTCATTCAATGGGGTTAATGCATAGGGACTTGAAGCCTGAGAACTTCTTGTTCTTGAACAAGGATGATGATTCTCCATTGAAGGCTACTGATTTCGGGCTCTCTGTATTTTTTAAGCCAGGTGAGCTTTTATGGTTTCTCTGATTGGAATTGGTTTGTCTTTTTGGAGGGATAATGAGTTTTCATCCTAGTACTTTTGACTTAGTGAAGCTACAGTGATGTTGGAATGAAACTGTCATCTTTGTTTGTGATTACATTAATATTTTGGTCATGGAACAATAGGCCGTAGGCCATCACCATAACTCTGAAGGATTTTTGATGATAGGTGTCAACTAGAATGTTTCTCAACTGATGCAGGGGATGTTTTTAAGGATCTTGTTGGAAGTGCTTATTATGTAGCTCCAGAAGTACTGCGCCGGCATTATGGACCTGAAGCTGATATTTGGAGTGCTGGGGTGATTCTTTACGTTCTCCTTAGTGGGGTGCCACCATTTCATGGAGGTACTGGTATTGCTACTTGTAAAGATTAGCTGATGGTTGTAATAATTTTCGATGGCCATATCTTCCATAGAAATTGGAAACTTTTGAAGTTTTAAAGCTCCAACGATTTCTGGTGGAGCATATCTATAGATTAAGAGCTTAGTTGTAATGAACGCTACTCAGTTGTGGATGAGTGGGAGGTCTGGCAACTCAGAATTTAGTTTTTGTATGCAGAAACTGAGCAGAGCATATTTGATTCTATTCTTCGGGGAAATATCGATTTCTCATCCGATCCATGGCCCTCTATTGCCAGTAGTGCCAAAGATCTTGTGAGGAAGATGCTACGAGATGATCCCAAAGCCCGGCTTTCGGCATTTGAGGTCTTAAGTAAGCTTTTCCTTTCCTATCTTCTTCATCTACCTTTTGTAATTTCAAAGGACCTATGAACTTATTAGGGTTTATCCGAAGTTGGCAGCGGTTGTTTGTGTTCTGTTGTGAAGGATAAGAAGTTAAAAAAGGCCTTGGACTTGAAAACTATCAAGTTGCTTGCCAAATTCATATTTCGAGTCTTAGTTTGCCTCACTTCAAAGATTTTTCAAGTTTCTGGCCAATTCTTAAAGTAGAGAATAAAGCTTCACTTACAAATTGCACCACAGATCATCCATGGATGCGTGAAGATGGTGATGCATCTGATAAGCCTCTCGATATTGCCGTTTTAACTAGAATGAAACAATTCAGTGCAATGAACAAACTCAAAAAAGTTGCTCTAAAGGTGAATTGCTTTTTCTGTTACCAGTATGAAAAATCAGTATTCAAGCTTAAAATATTCATGAATATGAAAATAAGGTGATATCAGTTTTCTATTGAAGTATATGTAGGATCACTTTAAATCTATTTCTGGCCATCAGTTGATGGAAGCAATCTGCCTCTATAACCATCATCATTTTCCATTATTACTGTTATTCTTTCTTCCTCTCCTTTCAGGTAATTGCAGAAAATCTATCTGAAGAAGAAATTATCGGTTTGAAGGAGATGTTCAAATCCATGGACACTGACAACAGTGGAACCATCACGTTCGAGGAGTTAAAAGCTGGCCTTCCTAAACTTGGTACTAAGCTTTCCGAGTCCGAAGTGAGGCAGTTAATGGAAGCAGTATGTCTTGGTCCTTTCATAAATATCCTAATCGATAATTAGTTAATAACTGTGCTTTTAAGTAATTCACTTAAAACTCCAATCTTACCATGCACAATCATTCACTAGATGGGACAACACCTTGTATAACATTCGTCATTACTGATTCGTATAAATACGATTAGCTTTGTGGAAATTTGAGTTCCATGCTACTGTTCTTGGTCGAAAGAAATTGGATCCTCAATAACTGAAGAAAAATGTAGAAACTGATAAGTTCTACAAGGTTAATAATACATACTGTAGGTAAGCTCGAAGTATGCCATTTTTTGTTTTGCAGCACACCGTTTTAGAATCCGACCATGGTATTGTTCTATAAATGTGCTATTACTTTGATTAACACACATTTTGCAGGCAATGACAGAAAAAAACATAGATGAATAATGTATTCTCATGTGCTACCTGAAATTTATGAAACATTCTTTAAAGCTATGCATTTAACCTGTTTGTTAATTCCTCAGGCCGATGTAGATGGAAATGGAACAATTGATTACATTGAGTTTATAACGGCTACCATGCACATGAATAAAATGGAAAGAGAAGAACACTTATACACTGCTTTTCAATACTTTGACGAGGACAATAGCGGGTAATATGACTTACGAGCACATATTATATGTCCATTTTCTTGTAATTTCAATCCCTTAATCATATCTTCCCGACATATTTATTTGTTACTTCAGGTTTATTACAATGGAAGAGCTAGAGCAGGCTCTCAGGAAGTATAATATGGGTGATGAGAAAACAATAAAAGATATCATTTTAGAAGTTGACACTGACAGGGTATGCTTCATTCTTTTTAAAGATGAATATCTATTGTCATATATTATAATTTGTCCATGATCTTCTCGCAGGATGGAAGAATTAACTACGATGAGTTCGTTGCTATGATGAGAAAAGGCAGCCCAGAGTTTGTTAGTATTCGACGACGCAAGTAAGCCGAATGCGTAGCTTGTGCATGTCTCTTGGCTCTAATTCATGTCTTGGACTGGTTTGTTAATATGTGCGGTTTTGTTATGACAACAACCATGTCTGATCTCGGTTCGAATGATAGGGATCATCAAAGTAGTCTTCAGGTTCTGAAATCATTGGTGGCTTGTGTATTCCCGCCTTTACAATAGAAATGGACTAGATTGCCATGAAAATAGTATGAATGTTTTACGGGAAACGAACAGACCGTTAATATGGATTCAAACTTTCCTCAGATCGCTGCAGTGCTGATTAACTGAGGGAGGAGCATGATTTACAGTTTTTTGCTTGCTTGTACATCACGTTATTGCTTGAACATGACAGATGCATTGTTTAAATGGATTCAGTTGATTGTTCAGCAAGTAGAGCAACATCTCTGGCCTGCACATTTTGCTACCGATGTTTGGCTACTCGATTCAACGCTCTCTGCAAATCCTCCTCATGTCGGGTGTAGCAGCTGGCAACAAACAACTGAATGAACCCCCATCAAATGCTAAACTTTCAACCAGTTAATTTAATGTTTTTCAGGGAATCCAGTGTCAACACCATCATAGATAGTTCTTATTTATGTACTTTTTAATACGTACATCAAAGAAATTACTCTTTTTCTTTCAAGAAGTACCAAACTATTCAATTTTAAAATTAACAGGGATTAAAGTATGTTTAAACTAAAATATTTACGTAAATTAGTTATAATTTAAAAAATTTAGACTAAAATATTCACTTTTCAAACATATAGGGACCAAAATAACTTTTAGGTATAATTAAAAGATTAAATATTTATCTTTATAGTAGAAGAGTTAAAATAAACTTTTAAATAAAATGCATTGAATATATTTTAACCATCTAGTAACTATAAATAAAATTATATTTAAATAAAAAATTCTATTATAAAAAAATTGTGACATTCTCCACAGTTAAATTTTGTAATTAATCTTCTATTTTTAGATTGTGAAATTTCAATTATCTAAATAGTATTGTGAAATTTACACTTTGTAAAAACTATAAAATTTATAACAAAACTTGACTCAACAAAATTAAATGATTTTTTTAGCTCAAAGTATAGGACTAAAAATAATTAAATTAGTTAATCTTCATACAACAGAGGGCCTAATTTTGACCTAAATAAATAATTATTTATTATTTATATTGGTCTTTTTCTGTGTGGTATTCCAGCTTAAGTGCTTATCTTGGTTGATGAAAATCTAAAGAAAAACGAGAAGGAAACATAGATTTTGATTAGCTAGAGAACTGACCCTTCCCTTTCCCACTCCACCTTCTTCTAGGGTTTTTAAACATTAGAGAAAGAAGACGAGAATCATTGGAAAAAGCTTGCAAATTATGGTAAGTGCTTGAAGTTATAAAGTCCCAATTTCTTTACTTTTCTCTGGAGTTACAGAAAACCCAATTTATGCTTTTTACGAAGGACCCATTTAAGATATTAGTTTTCACTTTATGTTTTTGGTTTCATTTTAAACAATGTGAAAGTTGTGGCCTTCCAATTAATAAATCAGCTGTGATCTACTGTAGGGATTTGAAAGCCTGTGGATTCAATGTGGGGTTTCATTTTTAAGGAATGTTTTTTGATTGAACATCTAATGGAAGCTGATCTTGTAACAGTAATTTACTAACCCTTTAAAATTCATGCAATCTTTTTGTGTTCAAAGCAGGTTGATAGAAGATATCAATGCAAAGACGTGCTCCTCTTAGCTTATCAGAGTTTTGGTGTACTCTTTGGTGACCTGACAATTTCGCCACTTTATGTGTTTAAAAGTACATTTTCTGGGAAGTTGATTAATTACCAATCTGAAGATGTCATCTTTGGGGCGTTATCCTTGATTTTTTGGACTTTGACATTTTTTTCCTTGTTCAAACATGTCGTTATTTTGTTAAATGCAGATGATAATGGTGAAGGTAAGGCTTGACTTTTTGACCATCTTTACAAGCTTTTTATATGTTTGACTGGTGATAAATCTTTTGGGGTCATTTTCAGGAGGAATTTTTGCTTTGTACTCGCTCCTTTGTAGGCACGCAAAGTTTTCTTTGCTTCCTAATCATCAAACATCAGATGAAGAGCTTTCTACATATCATGATCCTCGTTACTCATGCAGAAATCCGCAGTCATCGTCCCACAAAAAGTTTGCCGAGAGACATAAAAAGGCAAAAACTGCTTTGCTTCTTCTTGTTTTATTTGGTACTTGCCTGGTCATGTGTGTTGGCTTCCTCACACCAGCAATGTCCAGTATGTGCCTTTGTTTTCCTATTCAATTTTATGTTGTTGATTTCATTAATTTCTTAACATTTACTTGTGCTGGTCATTAATGCTCAATTTATGTTAATCATTATTATTTGCAATTTCAGTTCGTTCATCCATCGAAGGGCTCAAAGATCGATCAAACAATCTGCATTATGGTTAGTACATCTCTCTGGAAAACAATATTGATCTTTTAACCTGTTTGTACTCTTTTAATGTCTTTTATGGAATTAGTGAGTACCATGCATATGAAGCTTTGGGCAAATGGTGTCTTGTTAGATGTTACACTGATTTCTTATACCAAATACAATGTTGTAAAGTTATAACAGATAAACAGGACTGGATCTTGTCTTAGTTCCTGATGTTGTCATCAATGAAAAATATGTTGCTGTAGACAGATTGTGATGGGGTTATGCCTTTTTTCCTTCCATATTCAAAAAATTTTGATCATAGCTTCATATATTGCCATCTGAGCTGCTAACAATTTTTTCTACACAGGTGTGGTGCTTGTCATATCCTGTCTTTTGTTGGTTGGCCTCTTTGTTTTACAGCACCGTGGCACCTATAGCATGGCCTTCCTGTTTGCCCCTATAGTGATTTTATGGTCATTGTCCATTGCGGCTATTGGTCTTTACAATATCCTTAAGTGGAATCCGAGAGTTTACAAGGCCCTTTCTCCCTTTTATATCTACACATTCTTTAGAGACACTGGATATGATGGTTGGATTTCTCTTGGAGGAGTTCTTTTGTGTATCACTGGTAAACTCGAGATTTGGTATTCAATAGAATTTCAGTTTACCAGTATCCATTTTTTCTAGATTCATTCCTGCTTTTCTTGTCAACTACAGGAACTGAAGCTATGTTTGCAGACCTTGGCCAATACACAGCTGCATCAATAAGAGTATGCAAACCAACTGTTAAAGAGAATTTAATGCATTTAGTGATTCATCCTGGCATAGTTAAGAAATAATAGCACTTGAAGCCAAAGTTTTATTCTGGCTTTGGCTCATTGTGGGAAGAAGGGAAATATTTTTCATAAATGCATAACCAGGATACTGTTCAACTGTTCAGTTTTGAACCAACTGATCGGATTGATGAGCATTATGTTGAAAATTTTCCTTTCAAGCATGAAGAAAGAAGGTTTAGCCGGGGGAATTCAAGCCTGATGGTCATTTTTCCTGAGAAATTTTGTTGTCCCTCTATCATATAACCACATTATACTTTTCATATTCACTTTCAACGAGGCCTTTTTTTTTTGAGGAAGTGGGTTAACTTGCAAGAGTTCCATGTGCACAGTTAGAGTTGTTTTTGGAAATTGTTGGCATCCTGCAAAGTAGAGTTATGGTTGTCACTCAAGAAACTTGGCTGATCGAAGTTGTGGCTGTGTAAACCATGTCATGCATTTGAATAAAAATGGAGGCTAGAAGGAATGTTTGGTGTTAATTCCATAGTTGTTTTATGTGTTTGTCCAACCGGAAACATTGACTTTTTTCCATGATCTGTATTGCAGCTATTCTTAATTTGTGTCGAATATTGAAATTCATGCCTCAATCGTACAGTTCTTGCATCTAACTTAGTCTTTTGAGTTGGTTAATTCTATTGTTGATGCAAGATTAAGAGTTCTGATCAGAAGCTTTCATTAAGTAGCTCATTAGTTGGGTTGCAGCGTTTTTCATATAATTTGTTTCTTTTTCTAATAGTCTGGAGTGATTACAATGTAGTATATGTTCATAATTTTCTAAACCATTGACAGCGCACACACCTAGGGGTGCGCTCGATTGAGTCGAGTCAAAAAATTTCAAGTTATTCGGGTTGACGAGTCTTATTTTACAACTCGGACTTGATTTGAAATTTTGTCGAGTCGAGTCGATTTTTCGGGTTTCTTTTTAAATTTAATTGTAAATATTTATAATATTATTTTATTTCAATTTAAGTGACTTTCTATAACCATATATACAATACAAATATATTTCTTCATATTTGTTTTCATATGTGATATATATATATCATACAAAGTTCAAAGACTCAAGTCAACCTTGAAAATAATCCACTAATTTTTTCGAGTCCAGTCGAGTTTATAAAATTGCAATTCAAAATCAATTCGAGTCGAGTTTTGCTCACCCCTACACACACCCGCAAACGCAATTGCTCAAACCCAGACCTCAAGGGAGAACAACACTCCCTTTAACCACTGATGTCAGGCGATGGGTTCATATAATTTGTTGTGTTGTCCAAGAAAAACTCTGAAAGCTTGTTTTTATATGCAGTTATCCTTTGTTTGCATAATTTACCCATGTCTAGTGCTTCAATACATGGGGCAGGCTGCTTTTATCTCAAAGAATTTTGCTGCAGTATCAACGAGCTTCTATGCTTCCATTCCAGGTAAGCTTCTTATTTTGTGCTCTTCTAATTCAGGGTTATAAATATTCAATTTGCATCATGTCTAAAGTTTTTCATACCATTTGTACTTTAAGAAGTTATAAACACAATACAAAAACCCAAAACATTTCTTTGTCATATTATGCTTATACCATCTCATCAATATCCTTCCTTTAAGATATGTAATCATGCAGTTCTTCTAGAATTTCTGGACTGTGAGCCACAATAATTCTTGCGTCAGTTCATTGTCAAACAAGATAAATAGCCTTCGCCTATAGTCGCTTCAAATTTTATTTTGTTATTAATTTTTACAGAATATTCTTGCCATGTTTGTAGATGCCTTGTTTTGGCCGGTTCTTGTGATGGCAACTTTGGCTGCAATCGTCGCTAGCCAGTCTATAATCTCTGTCACATTCTCTATCGTGAAACAATGCTATGCCATAGGATGTTTCCCTCGTGTCAAAGTTGTACATAAATCGAAATGGATCCGTGGTCAGATATACATTCCGGAGATCAATTGGGTCCTTCTGATTCTCTGTCTGGCAATCACAGCTGGTTTTAAAGAAACAAATCATTTGGGAAATGCCTACGGTAAGTTGCATTCATTCACACTTAAACCGTAGTTTATGATAACTTTTTCTCTTTTGCTTTTTGATACATAATTTCTATGCCTTTGCATTGGTTAGATCTATCAAATATTGATTTAGAAAATTAAGATGAGAATTATTATTGTTTTGCATTAGTTAGATCTTCTTTACTGTTCTTATCTGAAAATATGATCGCACTCTTTATTGCAGGACTTGCCTGTATGTGCGTAACATTTGTGACGACATGGTTGACAGCATTGTTAATTAATTTTGTATGGTGTCAGAGTCTTGTGCTCGCTCTTCTATTTTTTCTCGTCTTCGGGTCAGTCGAGATCATCTTCCTAGCATCTTCGTTCGTAAAAATGCCTAAAGGCGGATGGATTCCTCTCGTTCTCTCTGGGATCTTCATGCTCATCATGTATGTCTGGCATTATGGTTCTAGGAAGAAGTATTTATATGATTTGCACAACAAAGTTTCCATGAAACAGATCCTCACACTGGGTCCTAGTCTCGGAATTGTCCGAGTCCCGGGGATAGGCCTTATTTTCACTGCATTGGTCAGCGGAGTTCCTGCCACATTTACCCGCTTTTTAACCAATCTGACAACGTTTTATCAAGTGGTTGTCTTTGTTTGTGAGAAGACTGTTCTTGTACCATATGTCCCTCAGAAAGAAAGGTATCTCATTGGCCGCATTGGTCCCAAATCTTTCCGGATGTACCGATGTATTGTTCGAAATGGTTACAAAGATGTGCAGAAGAATGAAGAGGATTTCGAGAACAACCTTGTTATGAGCGTAGCGGAATTTATCCAACTAGAAGCTGAAGGTTGCGGAACCCTAGAAGGATCTGTTGACGGGCGAATGGCGGTTGTACGGACATCTGAAAAGTTCGGCAAACGGTTAGAAATATCCGAACTCGAGCGAAATGGAGAAGCTAGCAGTTCAATGCTCCCTACCATCTTGAACAGAAGCAAGTCACTGGTATTGCAGTACCTGCAATCCACATACGAGCTGGAATCGCCGGGGTATACCCTAAGGCGGCGGGTACGGTTCAATCTGCAGCAAGATATGACATACAAGGATCTGAACGTGAAGGACGAGTTGTCGGAGCTAGTTGAAGCTAAGCAATCTGGGATAGCGTATGTGTTGGGGCACTCTCATATAAAAACGAAGCTGAATGCGCCATGGTTGAAGAGATTTTTCATCCACGTGGCCTACTCGTTCTTGCGTAAAAACTGCAGGGCTCCGGCTGTGGTTCTCAACATTCCTCAGACATGTTTGATTGAAGTTGGGATGAACTACTACCTGTAGGAACCACTTTCATTTTCCATAGCTTCTTTGAATAATTGGTTTTTTTTTTCTTCTAATAAGATATCCTAAGAAGGTTTTAATATAGAAATCACTTAGCAGCTTCTTATAACAATTTCCTTGACTATTTTTACCATAGTAAATCATAATTTGTATCTTCAACTTTATGCATGTTAAAAGACGTTTCTTCATTCCTTTTATACGAATTTCAGAAAGACTAGTCCAAGTTAATTATTACTCTTGTTAACCAACAACGAGTTGTTTTAGTGCGATGAGATATTAGATATGAAATAAAGTCACGGGTTTAAATTTAGGCGATTATGAATTGAGCAAATTGGATTGAGATGATCGTTCTTACCTCAACAATACCCGATTCAGATTTATATTTTTTGAGATTTTTAAAATATAAATCAAATTAAATATTATTTTGATTAAACGTGCTTCACTGAATTATAAATAAAACAAAAAAAAGGAAAATGACCGTAGAAATAATTTAATATTTTCGAGAAACAAAAAAAAAAATCTCATTTCCAGGAACTTAGCTAAGAGATTAGCCAAAAAAGAACATGAATTCCTCGTTTCTAAACACCCTCTGAAGTCTTCTTCGTGCAAAACCTATTTTTTTTTATTTACAAAACCTCAAGTAGTTGTGAAAATCATTCCTTTTTTTTAATGTAAGTTATCGTAGTTGTTGATATCAAGGCCTCATGTTAAGCTCCTATGCCTTTCAATGCTTTCATCCCCCACTTCTTCCACCTTCTCTGTCCAAAATTCGGGTTCAGACTTCACCCACTCACTTTTCTTTTAATGGGATCTTCCAATCTAATTTCAAGCTCACAAACAAGGTAAGTTTAAATCACAAGCTTTTATTTTCTTTCTTGTTTTCCCATTCTTTAAAAAAATCCACTTTTATGATAAATTTTGGTTTTTGAGAATCTGGAGTTTAGATTTTAAATGGTTTATGTTTGCTTTTGAGAAACTTGAGGAAAAAGTTGATTTGAAGTTATAAAGTAGACAAGTTATTCCATTTAAGCTGAACTATAGTTAGTTTCTCTACGCTTGGTTGCTGAGAAAATGGATAACAAAGAGAGAGTAAATTGTGTAGCAGGAAACTTGATATAACCTACTTATAAGCTGGGATTTAAATTACGGTTACGTTTTCGGTCTCTTTGCTTTTATAGCGCTTGTGGACATAAAGGATATTATTGCCAACATTGCGGGGTATCGCAGTGGTATAGTATTGGTTTCAGACAACACCAATTATTCCGGTAGCAGACTACTATTTAAATCCCTGCTTATTAGTCCACGATAAATGCTAGAACTTTGTAGCTTTACTCGGTTGAGTTCTAAGAGTTCAATTGAGTATCTCTTTAATTGTGGTCATGTTGATTATGCCGTCTATACCTTTGTTGCACAATCCATTCTGGCTTTTATTTTGTTTTTAATTTGCAGAAATGGAAATTTTCATGCTTTAGGCATGAAGGTTTCTCCCCAGAAACCCCAAAATCCGAATATATTGACCATTTCCTGCCTGAAGAAACAGAACAACCTGAGTTTGACAAGTCTAGTGCTCGAAAAAGAAACTGGAAATCATCTCTTCAGCAGGTAATGAATTATTTTAACTTGATTCAATGTAATGGACCTAGGAAGGATGTTTAATTGTCTGTGTGCGATATGTTGCTGCTATTAGCCATTGGTAGATCACTGAATCTATCAGCAACCGGTATCTTCCCGTATGCTGGACGGCAATTTTGTTGGCTAAAGTTTAGTCTGAGATGGTATTGATGGGAGAATTTAGTTATTTCCCGTGTGTCCTTGGTGAACTTACGCGCACATGACGAGAATAAGTTATATGGGTTGTTTTACTAAATCATCTGCTCTTTGGCATATGAAGTAGGCGGTTTTCGATCATGGAAAACAGTAGAGTTGGTTCATGTGGTATTCTGTGATTGAGTTAGCAAATCTGCCCATCCTGTTTAGTTTCGAAGCTCCTTACTGAAACTGAATCGATACGGAGCAATTGGTATTGAATGACTCGTTATCCTGATGTGATTGAGTGCACATTCAAGCTATGAAGGAACAATTGCCTGCATTCCTACTAGTTTACAAGCAACAACTTGCATAATTGTCAACATGTTCGCCGATCTTTTCACTTTTTCTTTTCTCCTTGGGTTTTATAGGGGAATGACGAAATCGATTGGTCGTAATGCAGGCTGCAGATGCAGTTTCAAGAGCAGTTGGCAAGAGGTGGAATGTACCATGGACTGTAGAGACCATTGTGCAGGTTAGTTTGCTTTACTTGACATTCTGTTGTAAACATATTTGCCATCCACAACTGTCGTCTTAGCTTTCTACAGATGCTAAGTTTGCTTTTCGATGGATTATACAGAAATAAGCACTGTAAGTCTTTGAACTCTAACCGTGAACATCGTATGTGACTCGGATGAACTGGAAACATGTCGAATGGTTGCATGATAACATTTTCTGTGCTCACACACAGGTTATGCTTCTCTGGGTAGCTGCATTCTGGTTCATTGGGTCTTGGATAATTCCTTTTGCTGCTCACATGGCTGGGTTGAGCAAGGAATCTCTAACATTCAGGGAACAGGCCTTGTTCAGCCTTGTGACGGACGTAAGTGAAGGCCTTTCTGGGATTGCAATACTCCACCGTTGTCTGTCTCGGTTCCATCCCCTTCCATCGGATTGGTTTAAATTTAGCTTGAGAGGAAAGTGGTTTATCGATGTTGTGATAGGGTGCCTCATGTTTCCTGTCATCAATCGATTATCACAATTTAACCTCAACTTGCTGCCTGTTATGCCTTCTACACCCGTAACCCTTTCAAGCGTCGAGCAGTCAATCTTAGCAAGGGATCCAACAGCCATGGCATTATATGCGATTGTAGTTTCGATATGCGCTCCGGTATGGGAGGAGGTCATCTTCCGGGGTTTCCTTCTTCCTTCATTGACCAAGTACATGCCTGTATGGTGCGCTATAGTGGTGAGTTCGGTCGTGTTTGCGCTGGCACATTTTAATGTACAGAGAATGGTACCACTTGTTTTCCTAGGAATGGTGATGGGTGTCGTTTTCGCACGAACGAGGAATCTGTTGCCATCTATGCTTCTCCACAGCCTTTGGAATGGCTTTGTATTCTTGGATTTAATGAGATGAGCTTGTTTATCATGCATGTGAAAGTGAAACATAAGTTTCAGGTCTGGGGGAATGCTTGTTTGCTAGGGTTTTAAGCATGTTATCGGCAACACAATCGAATTCGAATGGCTAGAAAATTTATACAGATACAGATCCAGCAACTGTTGGGGAACACAGCTCATATTTGTATAGAATAGCTTAAGAGAATCGATCCACCAGTTCTGTTTGTCTTTGATAATAGCATGTAAAGTAAAAGCAACAAAGACAATGCAAATATGCATGCATGTATGTATGTATGTGTGTAAGTAGAAAGAATGAAATAAATAGATTCATGTGCCTGCCTTCCGTTACATGACCATCTGCAATCTGCATTGAGATGCGATGCAATGGATCGACCAACCAAGTTATGTGACTAACAGAATAATTTTATTGATATGATATTCGGTATTTTAAAGTTGATGGGCTAATTTTAAATCTAAGTTATTGTTTAGGGATGTTTCTTACAGTTAATCCTATTTTTATAATCACGAGTGTTTTTTTTTTTTATTCATCTATTTTAAAGTCCACAGAAATTCATATGAAAGCTTGATTGGATATCCTAAGAGAACCAAGTTGAAAGCTTACACTCACATATTGTATGATATATGTCGAGACGTTTCTCTGCCCGGCGACAGAGAGTGCAAATGGTACACCTCAAAGAGTGTAACTAGTCTCGAAAAAGTAACTGTTTATCCTCCTTGAATCAGATGAAAGACCAAGTTGTAGAGTCGCCATCAATCTTTTAATTTGATGAGATTGGTCACCAAAATTTTATATTATTATAATAAAATTCCTAAGAATAATATTAAAATAATACAACTCGGGTCTGCTTACCAGAAAAATAAGTTCGGGAGTCGGTTACGTATGGAGAAGGATTAACACCCCCATAACGCCCAAAATTGATACCGGTATTTATTAATTAATGTCTTTGCAATAAATTATAAATTTGCTCTTTAAATTTAAATTTACTAATAACTTAATATAGATAAATACTAAATAATATTTACTAATCCTATAATATTATATTATAATCACATATTGTAAAATTATCTTAATATATTAATATTATAATTAATATAACAAATAGTGATTAAAATATATAATGGTAAAATTAATCAACCTAATTAGAAATAATATCAAAATTATGTACTAATTATATAATTTACCCTAAATCATAATTCAGGATTAAAATAGAATTTATTAATATTTAAGGGACTAAAATAGATATTTAACCTAAATATATATATATACAGTCAATGACTAAAATAAAATTAAAATGTATAAAACATACTTTTTTAATGACTAAATTGAATAGGCTACAAGGATCGCGGGTGTAATTTTCCCATACCTGGATTTACGCGCGGTCCCTCCCCAAAATAACGTCATTCTTGGAGGGATATATATAGGCCCCAATTAGGCCTAAAGAGGCCTTAAGCCTCATTTTCCTCTTCTCTCCCTAACCGAGAGAACTCTCTCGGTTCTCTCTAGTTTTCTCGCCTAAGGAAGATCGGCCATCGGTCGACACTTATACACCGCCAGCCACCACCCATATGGTCGGAAAACATAAAATACCCAGAAATATTCCTCTTCTCACCCTAAAGCCTAAACGAAGCTTTGTTTTCCCTAAATAACCCTCAATCAAAGCAGATCTAAGGTTTATACCTTCGGCGTTTCGTCTTCTCCAGTGGCGCGTAGAGGCTCGTAAGTGCTCCGTTGATGGTAAGGCTTCACTTCCTTCACTCTCTCTTTTTTATTTTCTGATATGATGTATTGGGTACTTGCTGTGTTTTCTTACTCGTTGTGTCCTTTGTTTGTTTGCAGGTTCACCCTATTTATAGGGATTTTCGAGGCTCCCTTTGGACTGATTAAAAGGTTGTACCATGGTGAGTCACCGGAGCTACGGTGGTGACTCACCCTAGGGGTGGTGAGTTGTGCGGTGGAGAGGCTAAGTGCATTTAATGCATTCAGATTGCTTCGATCTGGAGAGGATATGGCAGCATCGTGGCTTGCACTGGTTGGAGCGTTCGGCGGCGGAGGCATCATCACTTCTATGACGGCGCCAGAATAGCCCTAGGGTTGCAATAAGCACCCTAGGGTTTTGCTGGTTGTACTTGTGACCGTTGGATTTGCTTCTGGATCGGACGGCTGGGATCTGTGCGGTGCTGAAACCTGTGTGAAAACCCTAGCAGCATTTGGGTTTGCTCCTTGGGCATGTTAGGTTGTTCGGGTCAAGTCTGGGCTTGGACCGGGTCCTGGTCTGTTGAGATTTACTTGTAATATGGGCTTCGGGTTGTAATCGGGCCTTAGGTTAAATCCATTTTCCATTCGGGCCTGTAAAACTGTAACAATTAATTATAATAATATAATATAAAATAATGTAATTATAATATTATTATATTATTATATTTAAACCAAATTTGAACGAAAACGACTGTCGACAGCTGCCCCTCTGCTTATTTTTGTGTTAACAAGAATAAAGCAAAGATAAAAAGAAAAGAAGTTTTCGTCTAATTGACTTCATATTTTTAATAAAAATTCTTTCCACTACTCTTCCGTGGAGATCAAACTTTTGATCTAATCTTGCTCACTACTCTTTTTGTGAAGGCTGGATTGCATTGTTTCACTACTCTTTTGTGAAAGCTTGATTGCATTGCTTCACTACTCTTTTGTGAAGGCTAGATTGAATTGCTAGCTTCCCATACTCTTTTTTGGAGATTGGATTGATTTGGAAAGAATATGTTTCACTACTCTTGCGTGAAGATCAGATTCAAGGTTGATTTGCTTCCACTACTCTTCCGTGGAGATTGAATCTTGAGATTTGAACTTTCGGCTTTCTTTTTGAAAAATTCTGCAAATGTTACATTGTGTTTGCTATCATGCATTTTATGAATGTCATGATCCTATTTATGCCTAAAATGTGTCTAAAGACAAAATTTTGGGGTATTTTCTTTTTCTTCGAACAAGGACCCCTTTTAATTGTCAATTATTGGCTCAATCTTATCGTACGTGCAACAAACATAATCATTTTATCTCAACCGACCATTTTTCCAAACCTGATCCTGCTTTTTTCTTCTTGAATTTCACCAGTTTAAATGACAAACCCTTTAATTAATGACAAACTTTTCAGATCAAGTATCTGAAATTTCTTTATGCTTAAATGTTTTATATATCATATCATCGTATGTTAAAATCATTGCTAGCCTCAGAATATCAGTATTCTTCAAAGACTTTTTGTACAGTAATACACCATGATTTTATGTACTTCAAATTAAACTACATGTTTTAAATTTTCAAATCAAGATGTTTTGCAAAAAGAATTAACATGAAAATGTTTCCTTTTATTTATGCAAAGAATTTACATGGCAAACTTTTATTTGTAAAGACAAAATAGGCATCCTCAAACACCAATAGCACAAATGCTCTTGAATTGGCGCACCACAAAGTGATTTGAGTGTAGTTTCTGTCAAAAGGATCTCGAAATTATGATGAAGGTATATAGTTCATTTTTATACCACAAAACATCCAATACTGAAATTTATCCATGATTTTTTCATGCAAAATACCTTTTAACCGCATCAGAATTTACTGGGTAAGGTAATTCATGTCCGTCCATTTCAATAAGGACTAAAGCTCCTCCAGAAAAACCTTTTTTACAACATAAGGTCCTTCCCAATTTGACATCCATTTTCCCCGGAAATCCTTTTGAAAAGGTAAAATCCTTCTGAGTACAAGATCCCCTTCGTATAATTCTCGGAGGCGAACTTTCTTATCATGTGCTTGTATCATTCTTTTTCGGTACATCTGACCATGACAAATAGCTTTCATTCTCTTTTCTTCAATCAAATTCAATTGGTCAGATTTGGTTTGTACCCAGTCTACCTTATCTAGCTTTACTTCTGATAGAACCCGCAATGAAGGAATTTCTACCTCAATAGGTAAGACTGCTTCCATCCCATAGGTTAATGAAAATGGAGTTGCCCCAGTCAATGTTCGTACTGAAGTTCGATAGGCTAACAGAATAAATGGTAGTTTCTCATGCCAATCTTTGTAAGTTTCAGTCATCTTCTCTATAAGCCTCTTTATATTTTTATTAGCTGCCTTAACCACTCCATTCATCTTTGGGCGATAAGTGGTGGAATTATGATGCTTTATTTGGAACTGCTCACAAACTGATTTCATCATTTTGTTGTTTAGATTCAAAGCATTGTATGTAATAATTCTCCCTAGCAAACCATATCGACAAATGATCTTTTTTTCAAGAATTTATAGACTGTGGACTGAATAATGTTTTCATAAGAAGATGCTTTTACCCATTTGGTAAAATAGTCTATTACTACCAAAATGAAGCGGTGTCCATTTGAAGCTTTGGGAAAAAATTGTCCAATAACATCTATGCCCCCACATAGAGAATAGCCAAGGAACTGTCATTACATGCAATGGATGAGGAGAGATATGTTTCATGTCTCCATAGGGCATAATTAATACAATCAATTTCCATAGTTGACCAATAGTATCCAAATCTCATAATTTGTCTAACCATTGTATGCCCATTAGCATGAGTACCACATACTCTTTCATGTACTTCTTCGATAATTGATTTAGCTTCCTTAGAGCAACTCCAGCGTTGCGCTAGAGTGAAGTATAATCTCCACTTTGGAGACTCCAGCGCTGCGCCAACAATGATCTCCATTTTAACATGGCTATTAGTTTCACGCTACATCTAGCGTGTTACTGTAGCTGCGCTACAATTTTTCTGTTATTTTTATGATTTTTTTTTATTTTTTACTATCTTTTGTTATTTTTTATTTTCATTTTCTTTGTTACATTAGTTTCTCTTATTCTATCTTTTATATTTTTTATTGTAATTTCTACACAATAAAATAAAAATTAAACATAATATAATATATTCAAGTAGATTAAATTGAAAGATATATAAAAATACATTGAAATTAGATAAATAAACATACTAATTTTTTGAAACATAAAAATACAACAAATATAAAAAACATAGAAAATACTAATAAAACTCAAACAACATTTTAACCAACAACCCAAACACAACAATTTAACTAATAACCAGACAGACCCCCTCCACTCCCTCCAAGATCATCAAAGTTCATTCCAAACACATTAAAAGTAGTAGAGGTTGACTTATCTTCTTCTTTTCATTTCCGAAGAATTTTTTGTTGTTCGCTTCGAAAATAGTGGCGTCGTTCAGGGTCACGAATGTTATCTGGATCCATCGCTTGAAGCTTGCCCTCTCTCCTCAATTGTGCAATTTCAGACCTTTTATT